ACCCAGGTGCAGGACCTGGGTCCTGATAAATTTTAACTAAGACATGTAATAATCTTCTGCTGTTTGAAAATTCTGATGGTGTTCCAGCATAACGCAGTGACAGACAAATAAAATGCACCTTTCATCCTTAACAAGGTATGTATTTGCTGGTCAAAACACCAACGCAGAGGTCTTTTCCAAAACTAGCTGGAGTCAACAAGCAGCTGTCAGGACAGCAATATCCCAAGTAGGGTACCTAGCTTGTGGTAAGAATGGCACGATGCCAGCCCACAATGGTTGTGCTTTAAAGGATAAAATCAGACACTTAAAGCAGTCAGACTGGGTAATCAGAAGAGCTGTTCACTAGAAAGAAGAACAAAGTAATGGTGTCGTTTTTACCTGGTAGATGATCATGTCTGTAAGAAAGATTCTTAGCCAAAGCCAGGTGTCTGTCTTCCATGACAAACAAATTCTGGTGAACTCTGCGTAAGTGGTCAGAGAAGAAAAAAAGAGAAAATGAAGCATTTCACAGCTTTGGGTTAAAAATCAATTATCTAGGGGGAAAAAAAAAAAGCTGAAATTAAAAATGAAAACAGTATGAGTATGAAATCTTTCAAATATAGGATACTCTCTTCCCATACAATCATATTTTGTTTATACTCCACTTCCCAGTATCTAACAGATGTAAAAGCAGCTGGTGATTTTAGAAGAGAAATTTGTTTTCAGGGCTATCGCACCAGGTACTACCAGAACGGGAAAGACACAGTAAAGACATCTTCTTAAGCATGAAGGAAAGCCGCCAGCAGCAGCGCATCCTCACCGGGTGCCGTCAGTACTACCACCAACCCAGCCCTCCTTCAGTAAAAACTGCTCCCAGGAAGTGGGTGTGAGTAAGCAAAGACGCGTGAAGAACGAAACGAAATCCAGGAGCAAAATATTCAGCAATGCAACAACCAGTAAAGCTTCTTATTGGAACTTGGGTCAGAAAGACTCAGGACCCAAAGAAAATCCAACCTGAAGAATAAGCAGTGATAGGAATTCCATTTTAACAACTGACGTGACTTCTGTGCACAGCAGTGAAGCCTAAATGCAACTCTGCCTGCAGTTAGCCTTACCTTTGTCGAGTGATTCCAGCGAATACAGCAGCTCCCAGCTCTCTCTTGCCAGTTTAAAGCTCTCCAGTACTTCCATAGAGTTTGCAAGATCTGCCTTGTTTACTGCAATATGGCGACTTCGCGCCTTCCCAGAAGGATCCTCATCATCTGAGCTCTGCTTACGAGTATCAAACAAAAAGATTCACTTCCTTATTTATACTTATTTCAAAGGACTCTGAAGTTACAGAATTTCCAGTGAACACAGGACAACAATTCTGTACTAGAGATGCCAAGGTGCTAATTTAAGTGCCTTCAGGTGATTTTTTGCTTAGCTCATTTTAATGTTAGAAGAATCTGGTTTGCTCCCAAGAAACTCCGTGGTAGAAACAATATCCCAAAAGAATTTTTTCCTGTTAAACATGGCATTACCACCACGGAGCTTCAGCCAGATTATCTGCTGAAGTACATACAGACTTCACACTCTGTCACTCCGTTTAAGCCTACAGCAGCACAGTGCAAAGCAAACACATTTCTTGTATAATGCACACTTCTACCAGCAGAGAAATTCTACATAATAGTGGGTCTCTCAAAGAAATAGATGTATTCACAGTTCCAGTCATGAAAAGTCAGCTCATTTGGAGGTTTAGCTGTAGAACATCTGACTGCTGTAGTCACGGTTTTTTCACAGCTTCTGCAGCCTCTGCCGAACTCCTTAAAGTTAAAGCCCTGACATCAGCACACACGTGTCCACAGCAATTGCTATGAAAATTGTTTCATTCTTGCTGGCTTTAGCCAAAAGGAAAGTCTGCAAATTGTGGTCATAAACAGTGATTCCAGGGTAGCTCAAACAACATGTCTATTACATGTGTGTCAGGACCACTATTGTCTGAATTCCAGTACCAAAGCCATTCTTGTTACGAATCCCAGAATGGTTTGGGTTGGAAGGGACCTTAAAGACCATCTAGTTCCAAACCCCCTGCCATGGGCAGGGACACCTTCCACTAGACCAGGTTGCTCCAAGCCTCATCCAGCCTGGCCCTGGACACTTCAAGGGATGGGGCATCCACAGCTTCTCTGGGCAACCTGTCCCAGTGCCTCACCACCCTCTCCAGGAAGAACTTCTTCCTGATATCCAATCTAAACCTCCCCACTTTCAATTTAAACCTGTTACCCCTTGTCCTGTCACTCCAGGCCCTTGTAAAAAGTCCCCCCCAGCTTCCTTGTAGCCCCTTCAGGTACCGGAAGGCTGCAATAAGGTCTCCCTGGAGCTTCCCTTCTCCAGGCTGTACAAGCCCAACTCTCCCAGCCTGTCCCCATAGCAGAGGGGCTCCAGCCCTCTGAGCATCTCCGTGGCCTCCTCTGGACTCGCTCCAACCGGTCTATATCCTACGAATAAAGAAGTCTAGAAAAGTTACCATTGTTTTTTCTCTTCCCTCTGCAAGTTTCCTCTTTTTGTGTACGTGTTTGCTACGATCAATATCTGTATCGCCATAGACGTTGGTCACATCCTCAAGAAGAACCAGTGGGGCTCGGTTTGGAGCATTTGGACCTGGATTTAAGGAGAAATTAATTCAAGATTGCTTTAAAGTGACCTGAAAGGTCTCATACCTACATCAAGCTGGTTCTGTTCCCTTCAGAAGTAACAATTATAATGCTAAACAACGTGAAATTCTTTCACTGCAGTTGCATAAGCTTAAACTCTGCTGGTAAAGCTACGGCTTTCTCAAAGCAGCCTTATAGTAAAGGCCAGAATGCATCTACCAGACACTGTGAGAGTTTGCTTGAGCTTCAGAATCCCTCTGAATTCTTTTCTGACGGAGCGGTCGCAAGATCTACTCAGGCAGCTGTTCTCCCATCAAGCATTATTTGCTTTTATCTAAGTGCAGTTATTCAACAGGTGAAGAGAACAAACGGCTCTGATGTCAACAGCCCCGAACATGGCAAAGCACAGCACTATTCTCACGTTCTCATGAGAAACCAAAGTGATACACCAACAGGCACTGATCCCTTAAAGTGAGGGTATTTTATCATAAGATTTCCCTAGTAGGAGCACTCGGTGTCAGCTTTGCCCTCACCGATTTCAGTGCACAGAATTAAACCTTTAATCGACTGCCAGAGCCCATCTCACTCCCCAAAGCCTCCAGAGAAGCTTCATTTTGAAGCACAGAAGAAATGATCTCTACTTCCATTGGTGTCACAGAATGTCCGTGGGATCCGATACCTGTTATTTCAGACCTCAGTGCTTAAGTTTCCTTAGATATAAAATAGGAAGAACACTTGTTAAGCTCAAACAGCACTCGTACGTGGCCACTACTGAGAAAGCTTTCCTTCTGAGAGGATTTTCTCCTTTAGTACAGTCAAGTTGTATATAGATATGGGAAGCTCAAAAAAGAGAAACACAAAGGGAAGGGGAAATCCGTTAACCTGTTTTCCCTTCTTGAAACCTCCACCAGACAAGACATTAGTGCAGACATGTATTTTCAGCACGTGCATTTCTTCTTTCTCTATTTGCAGAAAGATCCAAGACTAAGGCCTCATTCATAATTGCAAAGAACTAACGTGAGAGCTTAGAACAAAGCCAATCTGTTTCATCTCTTGACATAAAAGAACCTTTATTAAGCTCTTCCCATCTACTCAAAAGTGATGTGTAAGGAGTCCACTACAGCAGAAGTTAGTGTTACAAGAAACAACCAGCCTGGCACGCTTAACAAATGATGTTCTCTCCTTTGCCTGGGTTCAGACTAAACAGCACCACTGAAACGTCCCCTACCCAAAGGCTACAGTACACTGAAATCACCTCTCCCGTACCACCATGTATTCTGCTGTGTTGCATTCTAACCTGCACCAACTGAAAAAGAGCCGAGCCCTAATCATAGAATCCCAGAATGGTTTGGGTTGGAAGGGACCTTAAAGCACATCCCGCTCCAACCCCCTGC